AGCATTTCTATGTATGGTATGTTATTGATAGCCGGCGTTTTATATTTTTATTAGCGAAGAAATGACTTTAGAGATTAGCGGTTAACATCAATAGTGCCGAAGTATGCCAGTACTGATTTCTAGTTAATCGAATAGGATATCTGTCGGTGAAACCGGAATGATTTCGAGAGAAATATCAGGATTGGCCGAGTTACAGTAAATTTTCATTCTACGCAATATTGTCGAAACCTTTCTCGCGAACAAGGGAGGCCGAAAATAAGAAGGATTGTCTACCAGAAAAGGGTAAAGAAGGCGATGAACTGTGTTATCCTCGCGGTGCATCTTTTGCACAAGCCTGTAGCTGGATATATTCGGTCAAAGGCCTGTAACTTACGAATGTATATGAGGGATTCATTATCTCAGGAGCCTCACGCAGAAAGAGAGAGAAGAACCTCTCCATATGAGCCCCAACGTGCAAATGGACTAAATAAATAATTTTACTCAGGGTTATTATATTAACGAATTCTTGGAACTGCATTCGCTATGAAATTTCGGTATATCTGACTAACAAACATCTGATAAATTTTCGAAATATATATTATTCAAAAATTTTAAATAATATATTATACATAATAATATTTTTCTTTGAAAGCTGATGAAGAAGTAGGCTATAAAATCTTCTCATAAAAATTAAGTTTAGTATTTGGCTTATATTAATTAATACAATGCATGAACACACATTTTGTTTATCAGATACATAACATATATAGATTATATTTTTCAATTTTTTAAATAAAAATATGAAGCCATTTATCTCTATTTACGCGAAAGGAGAATTAGAAAACTTTTAGAGAATTGAAGAAAATGTTAAGCCATTGCAGCAATTGCGCTCGTTATTATCACGCAAACATTTAAGTGTAATGAGACGTTGCTTTGTATAAATTCTTTATTTTTTGCCTCGTTTAAAAACAACACGGTACGAATCCAGGTTCTAAATTCAACGATGCAAAGAGTTTTTTTTCGAACGCGGTGCCCTCAGGTAGCGGCGCCATTGCTCTCTGAACCGGTATTCTCTTCTGGGCAGTATTTTAGCCGCTCTATGTGCTCATGGTGTACCTAAGTCCCATAGGGAAAGTTACCTGCATCAGGCAGATGAGAGAGCCGCGTTGTGCGAGATGCCTCGAGGGCACTTTTGCCACTCTTCGTGTTCTCGTGCCACGCTCTCGTGGCTTAACAATGGATCAGCATGAAAGATACCACAGACTTGATCTATAAAGGACGCGGATATAAGTTCTACCTGCCGATCTTGAAACAAAGCATCCCATCGATACACGATTTGTCTTTTTCATCTCGTCGTGCATAAAGACGTAAGATTTCGTAATTTTGTTTATGAGTGTTATAAGATCAAGGAATGAACTTTCCTATTATATAAAAAAATTTCTTTCTTCTGAAAATTCCATGCTTTTTCGATTGCAAAATTTGGTCTGTCACTACGTGTATTTTATAAAACGTTTAACATGACCGATTATATTTTCAATAATTGCTAAATTCTTGTGTTTATTCTTTGAAAGTCTAAAATCAAGTCGACTCGGCGATTTCTTTCGGTTATTATCTTTCGAGATTCTAGAAAGGAGCAATCGTGCCGCTTTTATCTAATTTGCACACGACGATGCGAAATTCTTCATGATTGTAATGGACATGCGAGAGTGTATGGCGTTTCTTCGGTTGAGTTTCGCAAAACAGAACTAGATGCGAATAAGGTCGCCCGTAAATCACTTGTCAAAGCACGAGATACGAGCTTGGACCTATTTTACTTTCGACGTGCGTCTAGTTAATTTGCTCTTTCAAAAAGAAATTCTTTTCTTTCGCAATCAATCGTTGGAAATAAATTTTTTAGTATTTCATCGATCTTCACGATGAGAAACGTCGAAGAATCTCATAATATTTTATACTCTCGGCAAACTTCTAAAAGAAAAAACCGACTTTGTCGATACCGAAATTTTGAACCATTACTACGTCAACAGAGCCAGGTATGGCAATATGCAAAGGTGCGGTCAATCGATCCTAAACAATATTATATGGATACCTCTCGAAGGGAACAATAGGGACATCTCATGATTTGAGAAGTCTGGCGCCATCGTCATTCTTCGAGAATTAGTAACGGCAAATTTTTGAACAACAAAAAAATACAACATTTTCTTATGTTTCTACTTAACAAAGGATTCATTTTTATTTTTTATAAATTAAATATACAAATTTATATAATGAAATTAATATAATATAAAGAGATTGTAACTATTTTTATAATATATTTTTTACAAACTTATACTTTCTAATATTTTCCAGATTACATTGAATGAAAGAAAGGAATTTAGCATTTTTTTTCCTTTTGTTTGTTTCGTATTATATTATGCAATCTTTGACATGGGTCACGATAAACACGAATATATCTAATCAGTCAGATAAAATAGAAATCCTAGATATATATTCTTCACAATATAATCTTCACAAAAATTTCGTCCTAAAAATGCGGGGAAACTATCAGGTAAAAAAGAGAATGAGTGCAAAGGGATGGGGAATGAAATAAAATGGATAATGATGAATATGAACGTGTAAAAGAGAAAAATAAGTGACTAAATCTAGTTCATATACCACCTGTTGATTCTCCACGCATATACCATAAACACCTGTTGATTCTCCGCACATATAACCACTTATTCGCAAAAAATATATAATCGCTCTTCCGTATTTTATAGCAAATGTTTTTACATACAGAAATGTCAGTTATGAAGTGCAAAACAAAACATTTAATTATTCAATTATTAAAAAATGTATATAATAAATATTTATTCTTTTTATATATTATTATATTTTTTTACGTGATTTAGAAAACTGTACAATTTTCACTTATATTACATACCATTATTTTATAATAAAAATGTTAAAGTATCAGAAATGAATACGACAGAGGGATCTCTTTTATAGCTGAGCCACCTACAGAGTTTGTGAAAATAGATATACGAATATTTCATCCAACCCTCACAGTAGGGAGCGGCTATGATCCTAACGACGCTTTAACCTTGATTTCTAAAGAATTCGGCTTCTCAGGCCCCAAAATTTTGACCCATTGTTCCTGAATTGTTGCACATATTAAAGTAGTTAAATCCATGGAGTCTACGAAAATAGTTCTTGCGAAAATATGATCGGTCAATGCTAAACAATATCGCGAGGTAGTCAAAGCCACTTGAGACGAACAATGAATCCCGTCGGCACAGGGTGGCTGAGGGTGGCACTCGAGGATCGCTCCGCGTTACAAAGCAATCGAAAGGGCACGGTCTGGCACCTGCTGAAAACCAGCATCCCGTGCTATGAACCAAATTGAAATCTATAATTTGTGTCCCTGTTGTAGCCGAGTTGGATGCAGGTCGGGTTCACTCGAATTAAATTTACACGATTGTGAGGGCGACACGCATCATCTATCATTTACAAGAAGTGTTGATTGCATCTCTTGTACCACCTTTGTAAACGATATCGTAGAAAAAATTGACCAGTATTTTATAAAAAAAAAAAAATACTGCAGCATTATTTTTTAATTACATTTATCAATATTATATTTTTATACTAATGCTGCATAATCTAACAATACATATAATGTCTAAGGCATATTTTAAAATTTTTATTTTTCAAATATATAATTTGCTGCCTATTTGCAGAACATAATTGTTGACATTTCTTGCGTTAATTTACAACGCGAAGTCTATAAATAAATTGCTTATTCTTTTAAACAGAATATCTCTTGGCAAGAAATATTCATGATAAAACAAGCGTGCACATCGTGCAAAGGCCAAACAGTCATCGTATTCTTCGTGTAGCTGTAATTTTTTGAAGTGCAACAACGAGAGAGAGTTCCTTCCTCGAAGCAATTCCGCGAGAATGGATTCTTCTTAAACCGTACCACGATGTATTTTCACGCCAATCTCACATGGCTTTTATATAACTTGATTGCAGGATTCTTATCAATTCACTTTTCGTTATTTGATTCGATACATTGCAATTATATTTTTTTTTTTTTTTAATTATTTAATTTTTATTCGAAATCTTCTTTTACAAATATTTTAGTGCTATAAAAAGCAACACCAATTTTGACTATACATGGTATCATTTTTCAGAAACATAGTTTATTTACAGAAATAGAAACTAATAATAAATAACTTTTTCGCTCGCTTATTTTAGAAATATTTTAAAAATCAGTTGTCACAAATGCAAAACTTTGCCGAAGAATTAAATTAAAGAATATCACATAATGCTTGATAAGGATAAAAATGGCTTGTGTCACCCCTGATTTATACAAAATCTGTTACCCCCTTTTAATTTAATATTACTCGGAGCGCATATACGGAACCGTTCATCAACAAATTAAATACTTCCTTCGCCGGAGCAGCATCTGCACCCTCGACCTCTTCAGAGACTCGGTATCTTCTCCACAAGACCAGAACAACACCCGTTTTTTTTCTCTCTCTGGTCCAGATGCATCACACGCAACCCCTCAGGTGTGTGTAACTTCGAGGGATCTTATACACCGTACGAACGCACGAACGTATCCCACACCTACTACAGCGAGTCAGAAGCTTCGGCGACTAGTGTGAGTGCGTGTACGTGTGTATACCTGCGTATACCATCTCGTACCTGGCTAGAAGAGCAAAGGTAGGGGAAACCGAGCATTCTACGAGACGCGAGTGGCTCGAGAAGAAGAAGGACAGCGCGAGAAGCTGGATGGTGGCGAAGGTGTGCGAGACGGAGAAGTTAGAGGTGCTGTCTTCTGCTTCTAGGGATAAAGTGGGGAAGATGACGCGGTGGGGCGAGAGGTCTAAGGAAGCCCAACGACGATGGAGAAGGTGCTCTCTGCTGAGCTGATGATGATGACGACGACGGTGGTGGTAATGGTACTGCCGGCGGTGGTGGTATAGTAGAAGGTGGAAAGGGAGAAAGAGAGAGAGAGTAAACGAGGACGAGACGCAGAGAAGCAAAGGGAGAGTCTTGCCCAGCGTGGACCTGTGCGTCGTTGCATGGCCGACCTGGAGACTCGCTCTCCGCAAGGTGAGACACGCGGACCGAAGAGGAGGCCTCGAAGGATCGGCAGGAATTCTCGTGAAAGCCGACTCTTCTCGCGATCGCGCGCGCGCTCTCCCTCGATCGTTTTTCTCTCCCTTTCTCCGTCTGTCTGTCGCGATTGACTCCAGTTTCTTTTTCCGTGTACCAAGGAAATCGAGTGAGTGATCCGTATTTATTTGCTTTTCGCGCGGACTTTCCACCAAGTGCTACAGATCCGCTTGGACAATGTCCTAGATTGGTGCAAACGTCGAGACCGAGATAAGTCAATCGGTGAATGTTATTGGACAGAATCAGAAATGTGTGCACGCTCGACTGAGGATTTAGCGAGGTTTTGACAGAGACCCTTTCGAATTTATTAATGAATCTTCGTGGTGGCAATGTCAGGACGCAAAGTGCGGAATCGACATATTTGACAGCGATAACGTGTGTTTACGTGTGCATCTTTTCTTATCAAAGCGCGTGAATTTGATTCCTCATACTTTATCATTACAAGAATATATATTTATCATTTCGAGGAGGCTGGCGACTACAATTAACAAATATGTCAGTTGTTTCATAAATCAATTGGATTCGCTATCAATGAAAAATTGATAAAACAGTGGCATCTTGGGGAGGTTTCGCGAAATTGCGCTCTTCGAGGGAGGTGAACAGTGCATGGTTTCTCGGTGGTTAAATCGACGACAAAATTCCTGGTGCGCGTAAGTGTTTCGTTAACTCAGAAGGCTTGTCGCGAAAGTAAACGTTGAAATTTCCTTTCGGAATCTCTGCCGTGCAATCTCGCCGTTCGTCTCGTCTTGGATACATCTCGTAAGCTGTTTGCATGTTAAATTGAGGTGAGTGAGACTTTTATGTGAATTCGTGTTGTCGATATCACCTGCTATTTTTGCGCGCCAAATTGCAATGCGAGCGTGAGAAATTTACCTGCGTGATATGATTTCGCTGCGGTAGCGACCATAATAACATCGGCTCATACGTGACTTTTTCACGTATAATACGTTCGATATATGCTTCGAGAGCTGCGAGTGATAGGATTTTTTAGTCTGATATTCTTGCCACATGCATCCAACTAACAAACTAATATGATTCTTATTTCTTTCGTCAAAGGCGACTTTTTCTCGTCTTAGACAAATAGAATATATTTGTTACATTCAAAAATCGCATCTTTTTATTAATAATTTATATTTATATAATTCCCACATTTGTCTCCCTAAATTTAACAACGCATGTCGATGAAATATTAACATTCATTGGACTTTTGATAGCAAAAATATACAGCGTTCTGCCAGATACCATCTCCGAAAGTATATAAAATTACTCCAATTTTTCTCGACGAATTATTTGATTTATTTGGCGAAAGTTTCGAAATAAACTCTGAGCGAATAAATCAAGATTGTGTTTGCATTTCAACTTTTTTTTTTTGTTTACATTCTTTTCTCACAAGAAACATCTTCCACCACAAATTAATTATTTTCGCGCACGAATAAATGACAGTTCCGTGTTTTCTTCAAAATGAATAAAATCAACAAAATTTTGCTATTTAGTATTAAGAATTCGTAAAGAGAGAGATACGACAAGCGTAATCTCTTACGACTGAAACACGCCCATTTTTTTTAGTACCTGAGGTATTTCCTTGTCCCTAATGAGTTACTAAGAAATGCTACGTAATATTGAACAACATAAAATGGCAGAGTTTTAGCATATATTATATACCATTATACAAATATTGTTTATATACATATATTTTTAATTATTTTAATTATTATTGAACTTACCCAAAGATATACAAATAGAGAGAGAAAGAGAGTGGAGTCACATTGTTTTGCATACCAAGCAGTTTATTTATAGACATGAGACACATGTAACGAAGTAAAGTTTATGTGTGTATATGTAATGTTTCTTATACAAAGAATAGATGATTATATCTTTTTTTATATATTTGGAAAGTTACAAAAATAAATTCAAACCATTTATCCTAAATTCGTTCTCTCTTTTCCTCTTTCTACATATTTATACATAAATTTCTAATATAAGCAGCCTATATAAATTAAATAATTAAAGCATTATTAATTTATTCGGAAAGTGATCACTTTTGGCAAGACTATTAAAATCATATACAAATTTGTATAAAATCGATTCTCTGGGAAGAGATCAAACATTTATAGTCTTCCCAGTATCTTCTTCAATCAAGCCTGGTTTTCAACAAGTAATTATTGAACAATTTTTTCTGAAAGCGACTTTAGCAAGACTCTCGAATGTAACTTGTATAGATACTCGGTTGAAAGATCTCTTTCTTTCTCTCTCTCTCTCTCTTTTCGTCACTTTTGAAAATGAAAGTTCACGCGGGGCCTGAGCACGAAGAACGTACGAGTCTGGAATTTCTTCCTTGGGGCCCTCCGTAGCCTAACGTTCGCAGGATCGTTAGTATCCGTTGGAGAGTCGAACGCTGGGATAAGAAGCTTGCGTTGGCGGCAAACGCCCGTTTGGAAAACATTGACTGTCAAGCATGTGACATCTGCCAGCGTGGACCATTAGGTGTCTTTCAAGTCCCTTCGTTTGCCTGCCTCTTTCTCGCGAGAGACTTTTCTTCCCTCCCAACGCTTTCCAGCTGATCGACGTCAAAAGCCGACTCGTCGCACTGATTTAAGCAATACATTTTTCACGGTCACTCCAACAAATTCTTCGAATTGGAATTGAGTGTTGGATACGTGAGAATATTTTGGAAAAAGCATCAAGCGTGTAAAACGGGAAAAGAAATGCATAAAAGTTTTCTTTTAATTATTTCAAGGTGTATTTATTATATAATATATGTGCGATGTTAATTTTTTAAATTACAGTTAACTAAACCGCAATCTAAAAATAAAAGTGTTATTTTATTTTTAAATCGCATCCTTTATTCAAAATCATATTTAACATTTGAATTTATCGATTAATTGTTAACAATTGATTGCTCACAATATACAATATAATGCTAACAGAAGATTGATTTTTAATTGATTTTCTTGTTTTGCTCGACTAAGATCAAAGAATAAGAATATTACATAATATGAAGATTGTGACAATTATATGCAACGTTTGTTATAACAATAACATCTAATCCGCTACGTCATAGCGGGGACATGGGTTACTTTTGAAATATTGTCTTATGATTATGCATGCATACAAATCTGATGGTAAACAATCGTACAAAATCCCCACAGCATCCTCGATGCTCCTCGTCCGAAAATTGTATTCCGACTCTTCTAAAGACGCGCCTACTCTCCTCTCTTTAAAACAGAGAGACATTAATATTTGTGAGAACCGCCTGCCCATTTTGGAAGTATAAAGAGGGTGCTGTGAATACTATTGGAATACTATCAATCTCATTAAAATAAAAAAACGAAAACCTACGCACGAGATCATCGGAATACGATTTCCCTTTTCTAGAAAAAGTATCGAGATTAGCGATAACTTTGGCGCCACCACAAAATTAATGCTGAAAATCTGATTGTATCATTGACCGCGCACAAACACAGTGTTGGATTTACAGTGTAGTTAGCATTTGAATTTCAGTACCACTCAAGCCCCTGATTATCTTATCTCGTGAATTGTAAGATTAATTACAGATTTTCTATCTCTGCTCTATATCTGTGATTTATTTGAAATTATGGAGGCACGATATATTCAATATAAAAAATTTATATGAATAATAATATCGGTATATCCTTTGATGAATTTATATTATATAATATTCTCTCAATATAATAATATCATTATATGAATGTACTATACGCTTAGAAACTTTATAAATTAAATGAAGTTTATTAAAGAAAGTGTACATAATTACTATAATTATTTTAAGAGGAGACACGATGCTCTATGATCACAATCAGAGAAATTACAATATTATATACTTAACCGCGCGATGTCGACGTTCTTTAACGGCGCGAATCACGTCGATTGGACCGATGACGCAGGTGCATAAATAACTTACGTAAGATCCTTGTGCGCTCTTCTCCGATGTTGCCCTATCGTTTCTATTTATCATTTCGTCGTAATTGCGAAGTGATGACTATCAGCAGCAACGAGCTGGCTGCCATTCGCGGACTTCTCGAACGAGAACAATTCGCGTCGGCGATAAATATTAGCTTGCACAATACGCGCGCGACTTCGATCTATCGATTTCGCGCGATTTGTCACTTCGACCGGTCCCGAACAAACGTCAACCACGGGGACAAAATACTACCGTGCACACGCGCACGCCGACCAATCCAGTTTGTATATATCGCGACTTATCTCCCAATGATATGTGATACACTCCGTAATGAGTGCCGAAGTGCCTGCGGGCGGTACGACATAAATTTTGCGACTGTTTTATGTCCCGATCAATTTAACACCTGGAATCGATCGAAGGGAAGATAAGGATATAGCTATTTTCTCAGTACGAAACAATCAGATCTCTTATTAAGGTGCAATATGAGAATTTTAATATAGTAAATGACGATTTAAAAAAAAAAAAATATCTATATATATTTATATAATTTCTTTGATAAATAAAATATAAAAGAATTAGCGAATGAATATTTTCGAAATGCATTTTGCAAGGTCGAGATGAGCGTGGCTTTTGGAGCATCCCTGAATGTCCTTGCACACGATCGATATGAATTCTTCCTTCTTTCCCTAAGGATCGTAGATCTTTATGGCCCATCTTATTGTTAGTTAAAAGGTATTGACGCCAAACTCTCTGTGTTTCTGATCTCCCGCTACGATGCAGCTCAAACAAGAGAACACATGCGCGATACATATGCACACATATAATGCATATTTTGCACACATTTTCGAGAGATGGTCGGAATGTTTTTACGATTATTGCGCTTTTTGTAAATGTCCATTGTATTAAAACGTCTCGTAAATTTTTTTCAAAGAGAAAATGTTTCTTTCAGTATTTTTACATATTTAAAAATCAATACTAAAAACATAGATCTCACAGCTTACATAATAGACATTTTTCATCGATACCGGTTTAAGAAATATAGAAAGCGTAAATTGAGATTCGAATTATATAAATAAGATAATAAACATGAATTTCTTCCTTTTAGCAGTAAAAAGAACTTTAATTTGAATCAACGTGATTTTACATACAGATATTGCACCGTATAATAATGCACAATTTCTTAAAAAAAAAAAAAAAACGTCAACGTAATTTCTTAACCGAGAATTACGGATTTGTGCTCGCAGCTGTTGTTAATAACGCAATTAGTCGCGGTGTTCTTTTCGATATAAATCATTAATAAATGTCGCGCTCGTTTTCGAAAAGGCAGCGAAAAGCGCGCGAAGAATCGTGAAAGGCGACTACGTTAGCCAATATCGATAATCATCTGCCTATAATAGATGACTCGTAGCTCGATAGAGCTTGCAGCACAAGAGACATAAGACGTTGAACTATTCAACCGCATTCGTGATTTATATAAGCGCTTCGCGCTTATAAAACGCAGTAAAAGTTCGCGAGACGTGATGATGAGATGGACGGAACGTTTGATGGTAATTATAATCTCTCGAGGCACCTCTCCAGTTTGCGCCGCTGCAAACGATGCTGTGCTTTTCTGCGCCAAGGACACGAAACGGAAACACACATTATTTGCGCTATTTTCATCCGTAGATTTAATCGATGCATTATACGCGGCGCACGTTCGCCGTAACTTGTTTCGATAATTCTTCGAGTGTCTGATTATAGATAATCTTGAGGAGACAGTCAATTGGATAGAAAAAGATATATTTTGCAATAATCTCTTTGTCCGCATTTATTGTAGTATCCCTGGTCAATTAAAGTTATATCTTATTTCGTGTCAATTGATTT